CCTTCACCGATGCGACCGGTCTGTGCGAGCCGGACTCCACGCCCGGAGCCTGTGGAGTAGCGGTGTGCCCGGGGCCGCTGGTCGGCCGCTTCACCATCCCGTCAAAGTGTCCGTTGAGCATGGAGTCACTGTCCCCGGTGTCTTTCTTCTCGTTTGAATTGTACCCTGTCTCTTTGGAACGCTCCATCACTTCTCTTCCTTGTCAGCTGAGCACTGGATCAGTTTGTCCTGCCCACAGGTCTCTCACACTTGTCTTTAAAGCGTGCACTTCGAGTCGCTTCAGCATCCCGTCTTTATAGCAGCAGGATAATCCACAGAGCTCCTATTGGCTGAGCGCCTCTAGGGGGCGGGGCCACATGCCCTCATAAGGATCCTGAAGATGAAGACCGGCAAGGAATCCGTCCACATGTACAGCATCACTGCTGTCTTTCATGCAGTCTGTAACCATTTTGCAGAGTAGCTGTAGAAAGAATAGGTAAACAATTCTGAAATCAAACTTTTAAAAGCTCACAACATTTGAAATGAGCCCAGACAACTACTACTGGATTTACCGTCATGAAATCCTACACATAAATAGTCCAAAGAGACTGGCCCTGCCCTGACCCTTCCTCTAGTTCAGCAGTGAGTTTTGGGTTTTACTAAAAGCCCTCAACAAATATTGGTTGGGATTATTATGAAATGTTTTGAAGACATTCATGTTTCATCAGGATTAAGTGTAACAACTTTGGGGTTCCTTAGCTTTTCTTCTAGTGTCAACATCAGGTTAAATGCACTTTGTTCATCGTGTGCAGTGCTGTTCAAAAGCTTTAATCACTTTAAATATTTAGATAGTCCATCACACAGTAGCCTACCATCAGGGAAAAACAGCAAACACATTTCTGAAAACAACAACAGACAGCTTTTTTAGATTCTTATCCATCCATCTAACCAGTACCATCAGGGAGGTATGGTGGCCCAGAGGTGCAACACACAATGTGAATGTTGATGCTACTGGGCCCATTTTAAACTGAGACCATTAACAGACATGGGCATGTAAACGCTTGGTGAACCAAATCTGTGTGAAACCTGGCTGATATATATATATATCATTAAAAAAATTCTGTGCAACTTTTCATGGGCCTATTTGTAAAATTTGACTTTGCCCATAAAATTTTACAAATCAGTCTTTATGAATTTAGTCTAAAGTGTTGAAATCATTTAAAGCCTGTTCACAATAACCTGCTAACTTCTGCAGCCTTATGGTCGCTGATCTTGAATAAATAGGGTTCTGTTAATTAACAAGCAAGTGTTCCAGTCTTTTCCATTAACCTTAAATGTTGTGAAATTGTTTTTGTTGTTGTTGCAGTTTCTCTTTTGTTGCATTTTGCACCTTTGGACCATCACCTGGAGGCCTCAGTTGGTCCCATGTTCCTCGTGCAAAAAGAAAATGAGTCCGCACATCCAGCCACAGTCACAAAGAACCATCTTCAGAGACAAGAACAAGGAGTCCTGCTACAGATGGTGTGGTCCCCACGGAGCCCTGATCTCAGCATCACGGAGTCTGGGACTACAGAAGACACCGAGACGGACTAAATCCACAGAAGCTCTGCAGCCAGTTTCGAAGATGGTGGAACATCTTACCTGTAAGTATCATGAAAAAAAAAACTGCGAGAAGTGATCCTCTGTCTCTACCTGCATTCATATTATCCTCGTTTCTTTTATGTGAATAATTTACATGCCACAAAAAACAAACTAAATGAAGTGTGAACATTTACATTTATTATGTTGCTAAAATTGAGAACAGGGTTTTTATAAATGTTATAAATGCAGTAAAACACTAAACAAAACCAAGGATGTTCCATTAGTGATACTGGCATGAGCTGATGAAAGCCACTGATCCATCATTTACTTTGAAGGAAGCTTAAGGGCTCTATACATTCTGATCAAGTGCCTCAAAGACCAACAGACTTAACATGTGTGGAGCACAGAACATGCTTCAATGATCCTCTTCGACTGTCAGGAGGGGCAGTTTCACACATACAGCTCAACATAAACCACCATCACATCAAAACACAAAAAAGAAAAATCAGGTTCTGTTAAATGCAAACGCTGAAAGCTTGGAGGAAGGATCCAAAGATTTTTTCTTCTTGGCATTATTCTCATCTGCTTCTGCCTGTCCATTTTCATTTTCCACATCTCCTCCTTCTACCCTTTTCCTCTTCTTCAGCTCTGCTGCGTCTCCAGTGTGGCCTTTAGCTCTCTCCGTCCACGTCTGAGCCAAAACGGAAAGACACAAAATGCATGTTAATTACCAAACAGGACAATATGAAATTGTACTGTTCTCGTCTTTATCCACACATGACTAAATGTGCACATAGACTGTGCAGTTTAAAATTGCATCCTGTCATGTATAATCACTACAGACAGGCTGCATCTCTTTGTCCTGGTCGGCTCCTTTCCTCCTCATGCTTTAATTTTTCTCTCTCTCGCTCTCGCTCGCTGAGCAGAGACAAAAGGAAGCACTTTCCTGGATGTAATGGAGCTGGGATGAATCATCAGGCCTGGGAAGTGGACTGGCAGCAGTGCACATACACACACCACCTGACCTCCAGTTCCAGATAAAACACTGCCATTTACCCTATGCATATTAAAAGTGCATACGGCAACACCTTCGATACAGAGCTGGCAGACGGTCCCAGCTGTGACATTTTGCTACTCAACTGTCATTTTAGTGTATTTGGACAAAAAAGCAATTAGGAGCAACCCAAGGGCACACATTTTAAAAGTTTCAAATTAAATGCACAGAGGCATTTCCAAGATTTCTTAAAAACAAATGACAAGGGTGCCACAAATACATTTTATTTGTAATACAAAAACAGTTTGCTGCGCTGGTATGGGCCTGTTGCTACAGTGGGCAGACAGAAACCCAATCAGGAAGTCCAGTTTGACGACTTGCATACCTGTCAAAACCGGTGATGAAACGGTTCCTCAAATGGTGGGAGCCGAGACAAAAGCAGCCCCGCATTAAAGCAATGTAAAGAGCTGTGCTGGTGTGGGTGTGATGCTTCAGGCTCCAGTAAAATTCAATCTACAAAGTCCAGTCTGAGTAACAGGTCCATGAGTCTGAAAGCTTATCAGACAGTACAACACTGCACTGTGGTTTATAAAGCTCACTGTCAGGATTTCACAACTACAGACTGATCAGTGCAGGAGGTACCACAGTTTAGCTTATTATATTTATGTATTTTTCAAAGGCCATGTGCAAACACAGACTCACAAAGAGAGAAAATGTGCCTTATATTCAGCTACCAGCTGAATATTCCCTCTGACACAACTACTGTCGGTCTAAACGGGGCATTAACTAATTACGTGGTGCTGAAGAAATTAATCCACAACTCTGATAACTGAATGATTGTCATTAGAGACCATGTGTTAAATATGTTTGTATTTTGGGCTGTTAACCAGATAAAACCAGTAGCTTGGAGACATCGCCTTAATGGAACCCTGACAGTATTCCCCCCCAGCTGTAGGCAGGTTTTTACAGTTCCTGCCTTGTTTGCCTCACGGACTCACACAACTAACAAAAGAATACTGTTTGATCGTGTTTACTGATTTAAAATAGTAAAATAGTCAAATATTGGTTAACTACTGTCTTTGCAAATGCTTTAGGGGGAACAAACTGTAACACCTTTGTTAGAGCCCAAGGACATGGTGTTTGGTGACACTCAACAGAATCGTAACTTTTGTTTGTCTAAATAAAAACTCCACAGGGCACCTTCTGTTTCACAAAGTAAATTAACATAATACATTTTTTTTGTTTAAAAAGGGATGGGTCAACAGATTACCTTATGATGAAAACAATCACGGCTTGTATCATCTGACTGAAGTGGCCTGTTGTTGGATGATTTATCTTTACTACACCACAAACATTTTTTTGCTGCCAGATGTTCCGTGGACACTGGACCACACCTTGCCTGATTGTATTTTTGCTCAGTATTAAAAAAAAAAATTGTGCCTGGAGAGCTGATTTAAAGATTTCCAGGTTCTCTCTCATAGCATTAGTTCTGATGTCTCACTATAGGATGTGGCCCCTCAGGTCGGTATTGTTTGCTACTAGCGCCCAGCAATGGGGGTGCTCACTCTGATCTGAGAGCAGTTAAGCCAACAAGCCGTGACACTAGCAGAGAAGCAAATGCTCGGCTTCTAAAGTACAAAGGGGTGACTGAATGACGGGTGATGCTGCGTTGAGCCTATATAAGGTTGAGGGCTTTGACGCAGACATCGTGACTGCCACATTATTATATACCTGGCATGCATGGTCTCATAGAAGTGGGTAGGTGACAAATTTACATCTGTGGAAAGTATAAATATGGCTTAAGAGGTTAAAATGTCTTAATGTAACAAGCAAAGCATTGATCTTCCAACACACAGTACAATGCAAATGTAGTGAACATTATCAGCCCCCCCCCAAAAGACCAGAATGCTTTTTCAAAAAACATCAGTTTGAAAGTGATGTGATATTAACATTAGAATGAAAAATCTTTATATATATAAAAAACCAAATCATGCTGGAAATATCCTTTAAAATAATTATTTGCATCAACTGGAAACTTTATCATCATCAACCGCTTCCCTTTACAGTATTATCATAAGATCAATGCTTTGTGCCCTCAACAGGCCAAACACATTCGACAGGGTTCCCAGGCAACAGGCGTCCAACCCCTCGCTCCCTCCTTCCCTCCCTCTCAGTTCACATGCGCTTCCTCTTTTCGTTCTGTTGAGTGTCATCCAGCTTTCTGCTGAGAGTCTTGATATATGCAGGGTCAGGACCAGGTTACTAAACAAACTGACATGTGAATCCAAGAGTGAGGTGTGTCATTACTGACACAACCAGCCTCATTTATACACCTATCAAGTAAATACAGCTCACATCAAGCGTGAGGATATGACAACTGAATAAAAGTTGGTTTTAAATACAAATGATAGATATAAAAAAGTATTCGAAAGCACGAGCGGAGGAGTTTCAGTCCCACGCAGCAGAGTGCAAAGACGAGCATGGAGTGTCTTTGAGTTGCATGACCGAGGACGGGGAGGATGCAGCTGAGGATCACTGCTGTCTCACAGAGTCTAATTGATGGGTCTCACTGGTCATTTGGCTGTTCAGAGCAAACTAGATGAAGGCAGGATGAACAGTAAAGCCTCCACCAAGACTCCACTACTTTGAGATTGTGACAGAATTTCTTTATACTGTATACATTTTTGCCAAGATGTATTTATGAGTTAGAGGCAGATGGAAGTGGATATATGTAGCAGTAGTTTATGGATTTGTAGAGACAGCCCTAGTGCCTCTGAGAGTAGCACTGATGAGCATTTTAGCAAATCAATGGGATGTGTTCTCTCATTTTATTGGTGGGAGACTAGCGCTTTTCTGCCTACAACAACTGGTCATAGGTACTAAAGAGGCTGCTCACTGCGTGACAAGACGTTTTGTCCAATCTATTTTATAATCACAAAGTCCTCTGACAAAATAATCAATAAACAAAGGTTAACGACAACATCTGTACCATGTGACTGCAGAAAACCTCACAGAGAAGGTATCTATGTGTGTCATAGCCCATCATGAGCTCCCATCAGAACAAAGCTGGACCTTATATAATGTGAATGAAATCCCACAACCAGGCCCCAAATCTTCCAGGAGCAGTTAACAACTCTATGACAAGAAGCCTACAGGTGTGAATGTGCTCAGAAGATGGAGGGTTAATGGCCTACTAGTGGTCATAAAAGAAAATGTTTTTCTGCAGCGACTTCTTAGTTCTACCCTTTGAATCCCCTTTACTTCACAACACTTGTCAATACATAAACATCGCTCTGAAAATGCACATCACTTGATGTTCAATTATTAAACTGCAGACCCCTGATGACTGCTGTCATTATGATCGACAATACTGCAGCGTGCAAAGTGTGGCGATGTGGAGGCATGGCCATCTCTCCCAGTAACTTTACAGGCTTTCTGCAGCACATGCAAGGTCAAGGTCAAGATTATTTCTGTCATTTGTTAGGGTGATTTTTATTTTATGCACTTAAGAATGTTTTTATTTTATAGCACACATAAGTTTACATACTTATATGTCACAGATATGCTTGTATAGTTATGAATATCACTATATGAGTTCACTTAACCACTGGTCAAATATTTGCTGTGTGAGTTACTGAAACACTAATGCAACATCATAAGTCTGGTGCACTGAGTGGTTTTCCAAGGACTAACCATCCCACAGGTTTTCATTAGATTTGTTGCCTTTTCCTAAAAGAGCCCATTATTCCCTGAGCCTTGAAGCCAGGGGAGTTGAGGTTTGATAACCACAGCTTCTCCCCAACAGTTTTGGACCAATTAGATAGTAGCATTTTTTCATACAAATATTGTATACCAACCAGTTGAGGACAGTCTTTCCTGTTTAGTCTTTCCTGTTTATCCTAAACAGTGGAGATCCATGTGCACATGATAATTTTGATACGTTAATGCATAATAAATTTCACATTGAGAACTATATATCCTCTTATTAGTCTTCTCTTTTCAATATAAAACGAACAAGCACCACACCGTGTACAGATACTAGCTAATATTTCTTGAAATTACATTAAAGCTACACATTTGTCAGTCATTCCTGAATGCGGCCCTACAACTGGCTAAACTCTTCTCCTTGTTCTTTTGCTTTTCGGTAGGAGGACCTGTGTCTATGGGTTAGATGCTCATTAGGGTAAACTTTAACGTTACTGCACAACAGGTCACACTCACAAGGTGTCGGCACCTTTCTGTGTACCAGCATATTTTGCTATTAAAATGCTGTTACGCAAAATGGGCACAGGTTGACAGGTCTGAATTTATTTGTTGGGTTTTCCTCTAACACTGTAGGGTCTAGACCATAATGTGAAAAGTGTTTTGAGATGATTTTTTGTTGTGATTTGGTACTAAACAAATAAAATAAAATTTAATCAAAGCATCCTCTCAGAACCCCTGTGTTTCATACCAATCGCTCCTCTGCCGACAGAGTTCTGAAGCGTCCCATGGCCTCTTTGATGATATCAGTCTCCTCCAGGTCAGGGTGGTCAGCTACAATACTCTTCCTGTTCTCCTCCAACCAGAGCTGAAAGCCTGTCTTTGGTCTGAACAGAGAGTCAACAACACAGTCCCATCAGACAATGTTTCTTTAAAAAAACAAACAAAAAAAACTAATCAGCATGTGGAACTGGCCTTTTCAGTAAAGCAATTTCAGAGAGTTAGGTAAGGCGATCTTTTACCTCTTGTTCTCAGTGTTATCTGCCGTGGAGGCTGGAGGCCGGATGTCTGGTGGTTTCTGCTGCTCTGCAGCTGGTTCTGTGCTCTCCTGAGTCTTCTTACTGACTGCCTTCGTGCCAGTCATCTGCAGGAGAGTGGACTGGGTCTGGAGAGAAAAAAGGGAAATTATCAACAGACAACCTCGATGAGTAAATATCTCCAACATGAACGCACAACATGCACAGTGCAATCTATGCCGTTTTCCAAGGTTATAAACAGATGCATTAGACACGCTATCAACTGTAGTTACAGAACATACAAGTTACAGGAATGAGGTGACCTGAAAATGACATTTACAGCATTTACTGATATGTTGTGAGTATTTCTGAGTTAAATGTTTTCAGATGATGGAACCTTTGACTTGGGCCTGGGGGCCAGCGGTTTGAGGACAGGACTTTTGTTTGGCCTCCCTGCAGACCCGCCGAGTGGAGTGGACTTCCTGCTGGACATCATATTGTCCAGGATGTTTGTCACTCGAGGCTGACCGGACGAAGCTGGCGGTTTCCCCAAGTCAGGAACCTGAACACATGCCATTAAAATCTTTACCATTCTTCCAATTAACAGTCTTTAGGCATGCTCACAACTAAACAATCAGAATAAAATAAACCAAGGCTGCCATCTTGAATCCTTACCTTGAAAGGATTCGCACGTCCTACTTTACCAACTGCAAAGCAAATCAGACACATCAAGTGTTTATTCAGGATAAAAATATTTCAATATTGCATTGCCATCCAACTAATGAAGAAAGTCACTTTCAGTTTTTCCCGTTTAGGGGTCGCCACAGCGAATCGTCACACTGATGACACACATGTTGACATTTGGCACGTGTTTTAAGCCGGATGCCCTTCCTGACACAACCCTGCTATTACAAAGTAAACACTACAGTACAACTTAAAAGCATACAATCATCACCGTTCTTTATTAAGTTGTAGTTCCACAAAGTGTACCTAAAACTTCTCTATTTAAAAACCCAATACATTTTAGAGATGCACCAACACAAGTATCCAATATCAAGTCCAATACCACCCTGTAGCACACGTACTCAGACTTGCAGAAATGAAATGTGTCCCCATCACATGTATTTGCAGTGGCGGCAGTACCATGTTTGTTTACATACAAAGTTATGTGTCCGTTTATGGATGTCATCAACAGTCTCCTGTTGTGAACTGCATTTTATTTTATCACAATCAGAAAGTAGACGAGACCTAATTAAAACACCGTCTCAAAAGTCATTGCACTTTTATGGTAACTGTGATTTGTATAGTAGAAACACTGCATTATTATTCAGTACTGGTATCAACAGTCGATATTGGCGAGTACTCAAATGTAAGTAGTTGTACTGTCTGAAAAAAGTGTATGGCTAATACATTTTCTGCAAAACAATTCTCTACGCTAAGAGACATTACTGCAGCATTAGTTTTCTACAATGTTTAAAATCCCAAGGAAAAAAAACTTACTGCATGTCTAACATCACAGACATTGGCCATTATGTTTTTCTACACAGTGTAGTTAATATTCACACTATATCAGTGTTGGACCTCTGATATCTGCATCATATGAGCAGTATATAACATCAGATGGTACAGTGTCTCACATGGGTGTTCATTTGACACACTGCACCGTTCAAAGCTCAAAAATGATTTGTCATAGTTAATCTGATAACCATAAATTTAGCTTTACATATGGATTGTGGATTGATTTAAGATTACTCACTTGGCGTTGGCGAGGGCTTCACTGGTGAACCTGCTGCTTTAGCAAACGGATTCATACCTGATATATGAGAGAGAAATGAATGTTACCTGTATCACTGGCATCTTATGCTTTTAGGCACTGTACAGGTTTAGATGCTTCTACTTTACACAGTATCATCAGGGATGTGTTGCATTAGTCCTAATTCATTCTGCAACATGACAACAAGCCCGTGAAAAACTATGTGCAAGTGTACCAAGGAAAACTGGTGCAGTTTTAAAAGCTAAGGCTGGTCACAGATTTTAAAACACTAGTGTGGTGTCATTTTGAAAGCACTCTCACTTTACTTTGAGTGCATAAAACATTTGTGCCGTACTGCAGTATATAAGGGCAAATAAGGTCAGTCATTTTCTACATTAACAATATTTTCAACAGTCCCCATACTAGAGACTAAAGCCAGCAATGCACTGGCTTTACTCATGGTTAATGTCTGTCAGTCCTGGGTCAGCTTATTCGTCTGTGCCATAGACCACCATTGTTGTTCAAAAACAATTAAAAACACAACAGGGAACCACACCGCTGGGTGACACATTAAATGTCACCCAGTCCTTGAGAAAAGGTGGAACTGACATTTTCTTGTGTCAGTTTCCTCCATCTCGTCTCCATCCTCCTCCTCCCCAAGCTCTTGTCCTTGCTCCTCTTCCTCCTCCTGATCCTGTCTGTTTATGAAACGTCCTCCTGTGGCCTCACCTTGGCTGTACCTGTCCAAAAAGAAGCTCATGAATCACACACTTTTGCCGTCTTGAGTGCTACTGCTTTAACAGAAGGTGCAGTAAATAAATAAACAAATAAATGGTACAGCTGTGACACAGCTTTTTTGGGTCAAATTTGAGTTTTAAGGAATAAGGCTGTTGAGTAATTGATTTCGATAACAATCATTCCCTACTGCGCATTATGACTGTATCAGTGGTGTGGGTTTACACATAGTCTGTGACTGACTAACACCACCTCACAAACAAAACAATATGGTGTAGTAGTAATTATACCACTACAGTGGTTTGGCTAATGCGCAGTCCAAGTCCAAGTAGCATAGAGAGGCATTTTTGGCATTACCCAGAGGTCTACCTGACAATGGAGTACTCATCCTCCTGCTCCTCTGGACCTTCTTCCTGGAGCTCATTGGCTTTCTCCAGGGCAATCTCACTGAGCCGCTGAGCGAGGGCCAGGCGTCTGGATCGGGACGCATATCGAATAGCCAGAGTCACCACATTTTGAGTCATCAGCTCCGCCAGCTCCACACAGCGAAACTCCCGCTCCAGCTTACAGGACAACTGGGAGAAAACATCATGAGTGCATTCATTAGGACAGACCAAGGTAAAAAGCCACAGTTCTAAATCAGTGTTCCAGGGTGTGGATAATATCATCATGCAGAGTTTTCCCACTCACTGCAAACATCTTCATAAGCAGCTCCTGCTGCTCCTTCTGGGACTGGCGCTGTCCATCCTCGTCTATCTCGTAGCCGCTGGAAGACAGGAAGCTGTAGTGGTTGTAGAAGAGGACTGAACGCCAGAACTGCTCCTGGAGAACGACACGGAAGGGCAGGCTTAGATTTCAAATTCCCATTTGTGTCTAAATGTACATGTTCTCTCTCAGACCCACTGCTCTGACACAGGGTTGGGCTACTTTGTCATTTAACAGACAATTTAATATTAACAACAACTATCTTAGAAAGATTGAAAATGGTATTGTGGGTAATCTGTTCACTGAGGAAAAAATACGCCAGAGCATCAATGGAAAAATTTGACACAACTCATACAAGTAAACACAATGAGGTTTCTAAAAACTTTCAAATTTACATTTCACAAAAAGCCCATTTATTTCTCAATAGCCTACAACAGGCAGAAGCATAAAGTCCAGCAATGTTTTCTGACCGAGCTTCTCCTCCACTATACAGGTCAAACTTGGGAAAACATTATAGCGCTCCAGTAGAATTGTAAATCTGCTCTTGAAATAAAGAAGATAAAAAGCCGTCATCAATTTTATTTGGATGTTAAGTTTGGCAAGAGCAGGACGATCTCTATTCCAGGTTTCATGAGGCTGTTTCTAGCAGAGAAAAGTCACAGTAAGATCTAATAAAGCATCATGGTTTGAAGAAGAACTTGAGGCGTGTGTGCATATAAGAGACGGGTTGAAAAAAAAAGCTGTATTAGATTGTAAAGAAACCAAAAAGGGCCAGACGCACTGTGTAATGAGACACCGTGTTTCTTGATTTTAGTGCAGCATTTGATATTGTAGATCACACCTTAATATTAACTAAATTATCTTTATATGAGTTTAGTTCAACAGCAATCAACTGGATGAAGAGTTACTTATGTGGTAGGAAGCAGACTGTTGTTTTTAATGGTAGTTTTTCCTCTCCCAGATGTCGAGTTCCCCAGGAGAGCTGCCTTGAGCTGTTATTTTCAATATTTGCCAATGACTTGCTTTATGGAAAAGTGCAGTGCTACTCTATTTGCAGAGGACACAACTACATATTTTGCATCTAGCAATATAACTAAATTGAGGAACACTCCTCACAATCTGAACTGCAACTATCATTTGTCTGGATAAATGAGAACAGACTTATTTTAAATATAGCAAAAGCTAAAAGCACGACATTCAGGCCAAGACATCATTAACAGTCATAATCTGTTGTATCTATCCCTTAAAGGCTTGGATACTGAACAGGTTCAAGACGTAAAATTGCTTGGTGTCACACTTGATGAGCAACTATCATGAGAGAAACGTACTGAAAATATTGGTAAGAACATGGATAGAGGCGTAGCATGCATTAGAACATGCTCTTAATTTCTTACTCCTGCCTCTAGGGTGTTAGTGACACAGGCATTAGTTTCATCTCACCCTCACTGCTGCTTGGCTGTTGTACTGTCCTGTCTGTTAGGAGTGAGGCAAGGTACAGAGGACATGCATGCCCGCCTTTCAGGGCTCAGAGTAAAGGATATGTTTAAAAAACAAAAGTAATCCTAACATTGACTGCCTTGAAAGACTCTGATCGAATGCTATCAGATGTTGCAAGTTTAGTTTTTAGTCGATTTTATTGATGTGAATATGTTTTTATTGATATTTCTGTATGTTTTAAATGTTGTGTTAGATGTTATGTTTTGTTGTGTGTGGACCCCAGGAAGAGTAGCTGTTACCCTGGTGACAGCTGATGGGAATCTGAATAAACATCATCCCCACCAACATCAGATTTAACAAATCTTTAACCTTAAAAACAAGCAGAGGCATTAATTCTATTAGCCACATCTTGAACTCTTCCTTCAAAATGACTAAAGAAAGCCCTGTTGCTGGGTTTGGATGTGCTGTTCATTTGGTGTGTTCACCTCCATCTGTCCTTTCTCCGTGGCGGTCTGACACAAAGGCAGCTTAAAGGGAAGGATGGCCACAGCAGGTCTGGGTAGAGTGGGTGGATACCTGGAGCCTTTACATGGAATACACCTGACAGGACAACACCACACAGTTAGGTGAAGGGAACAACCTCCAAAACATAATGGTGAACTAATAAGAGTAAAATGATTACAACAGAGATTAGAAACAGAATTCTGTGAATCAATAAGAAGCTAAAATACTGACTAAATTAATCAAATTATGTTTACGCACACAACATTTGCTTATTAATATTATTCTGTAATCACATGAAGATCCAGTTAGGAGCAGACCGTTCTGACAAATGTTCTTTACTTGTGGGAAAACCTGCCATCTGAGAAGCAGGTGACAACCAAAAACTTTATTAATGCGCAAAACAACCAATTGTAATGTCGGTTCCCAAAAAGCCAGGTTCTACTGTGAATAATGGTTTTAAGCTTGTAGCTTTGATATTGATTACAATGAGATATTTTGAGAAAGTTAGTGTCCCTGCTCAAGAAGGAGGTGGAACATCCTGCGTTCTTTATTGGCAGGAACGCAGTACTGAAGACGCCATTGTTAGCACACTGCACTTTATCTCCAAGCGTCTTGAAGACACAAAAACAAATGCATGACTTTGTTGATTTTAGCTCAATGTTCAGGGCAATCACATGCATGTGTCTCCGAGATGTTTCACAGCATCCTACTCTGATCAGGTGGATGTTTTTCTTTTTAACTAACTGGACACAAGAAGGTAGGGTTAATAAGCCTGTCAGAGACTAAATATAGTAATACCCCACAGGGCTGTGTACTCTCACTTATTATCTTTATACTGTATACAAATGACTGTAGGAAAGTACACCTCGACAATTATATTATTAAATTCTCAGATAGCACTGTGACTATGAGCCTTCTACACAAGAACATGGGTGTTTCTGTGTACCACAATGAGACGGACACCTTCATCCAGCGGTGTGACAGTAACCATCTGATTCTAAACATTAATAAAACACAGGAAACGATCTTTGACCTGAGGCCGATAATTGATCATGAGCCAGAGGTGATTATAACCAGGCAATTGATTAGATGCCTCATTCAAATATTTAGGTGTCCATTTGGACAGTCCTCTGACTGGCTTTTTATTTTATTTTGTCGTGATATCTGTTGGTCATTTGCAATACTGTCCATTTATACCTCATATGCTATTTGCACCTCATCACCAAGGCCGTGTTGATGCTGAACCATCTGACAATCTCCTATTATTGTTTTGCACTACTGTCACTGACTGTACACGGTTTGGAGTCACAGCTAGCATAGAGATAGCTAGCATCAGATTTATCCAAATGACATTAATCCAGTTCTTATTCTATTTTTATTCTACTTTATTCTATTTTAGTTCCTAAACGTTATGGCACCCAATACTAGGTGAGAGAGAAAGGGTATTTCGATTTTCTATATGTCCTGCACATATAGTGAATTGACAATAAAACCCTTGAACCTTGAACCGTCTCTTCTGGAAGATGTATTGATGACTTGTGTAAAAGACTGCAGCAGAGACTTCACTTCCTGAGGCGATTAAGGATTTACAGAGTGAATAGCCAGAACATGCTGATGTTCTATCAAGCAATCTTGGAAAGCAAAGACTGGTGTGTGCCTTTCCTAATTATATCGAGTGCATTAGATTAGGCACAGGTGGACTCAAATCAAGAACCACTGATAGGATGCACCAGAGCTCAGTTGCAAGTGTCATAACAAACAAATACTTATGTAAATGGGATATTTCAAACATTTATTTTTAAACTTAACCAAATTCACACATTTTCACACACATTCACATGTAATTTAGTTTGACACACCCCAAGGATTTTTTCCATCTTCTTTAAGACTCCAACACAATGCAAATGATTCAAACAAAAGACTAATTAGATAGTTCACCTGAGCTGTTGAGGGTTCTCATGCACTCCAACAACCCAGTAATGATCCGACTTGCTTTTGCAGGTCTCTCTGGTGTTACACACTGGTGTCCACCTGTTTCCCAGATTTTTTCCCAGAGAGCGTTTCAGCATCCGTACTACGCCATCTGAATCTACGTAGCAAGGGGTACCTTAAAAAAAAGAAAAGAAAAAACACCACCACAACCAGGTTGTCATCTTAAAAATCCAAAAAAGAAAAAAGAAAATCCAAACATTAGGCTGCAGGTAGGGAAACAGTGCCTCTAAAGACTGATTGCTTCCGCTAAACGTTGTCAGAGAAATGCTTCTGGCAGATTTAAAGAAGATTTTTCTTGACAGACTGACCCTCAGCAGTGAATCCAAGCCAGGACAGGTAGGATTTTTGAGAGAGTGGCAGGGGTTCGCCGTTGATGATTTGCTTCTTCCTTCGACCAAACTGCAGCAGCTGAACACCCAGACTCTGTTCCCCATCAAAACCTGTAGCTGATGACATATTGTGCGACACATACCCCAGCATAAGGTCGTGTCAAATGTAAGTTATTTACTATATTCATCTCACTGCTGGCCGTTTGTTATGTAAGATTTCTAAAACTGTTTCAGACTTCCAGACAGTTAATGGTTTCAGTTTCAGAGCCTTGGGAGTTGCTCAAGATTAACTGACCATCACAGTAAATGTTGCAGCATAAACAAAAGTAAAGCAAACAGATGATTCAACTCGCACATGATAACCATGTAGTGAACAAACAGTTTCATTAAAATGAAAAAACTAAATCGGTAAGAATAAAAACACCTTCCCATTCTCTACAAGGTTTAAAGAACAAACAAATTGTCTTTCCTACCAAATAAGACAAAATAGCGAAGGAATCAAGACATTGGAACTGGAACATTTCTGGCAATTTCATTAATAAAGTAAAATAATAAATAATAAAATAAATTGATTCACTGATTATTAAATTCTGTGCTATTTCTCTATTGGCTGACCAACTGAGTAACAGACTAATTGTTACAGAAAGCATCTGCACTGAGTCCAGTCAGTGTCTGACCAGAGGCGGTTGTTGACTGCACAGATGGGTGCTTTCATAGATACTGGTCTTCTAAATAAATGCAACTATACGTATATCCAATTTGAACATTTGTTTTGTTTCACACCAGTTATTTGTTGCCAGCAGGTGGATGCAAGAAAGCTGACATTCATGGTGGTGTGTGTGTGTGTGTGTGTGTGTTTGTGTGTGTGTGCCTGTCTAACCCCGATGGTAGACGATGAGCAGCTGTTGTCCGTGTCCCGCCAGGCAGACCACAGGTCCCGGCAAACTGACGATTTCCCTCTGAAGTCCTCCGATGGAGAAGAGCCTGAGCATCAGTGTGCTAGTGGCAACCGCCATCCAGCCTTGACCCAGACACAGCGCCTTTGCATCCTCGCCCCTTGGCAGGTCCACCATCCACTCCTTATTGGTGTCCCATGATGAAAAGTGGAGGCACTGCAGCTTACTGTGAAGACAGAGGAGCAGTTAAAAGATTTACCAAAAAAATTACAAACAAAACATGTTTCAGCCTCAGGTGTCGCCCTCTCCATGTGTTTAACTCTCTCCAGTGCTTTGACATCGAATGTTGATGGGAGGTGGCTTACCTGGCAAGCTCATCTGTGCTAGGACAGGCCAGCAGCACTGCCTCTTGCGAAATATCAGCCATGGTGTGACCCAGGGAGTTGGTGAGGTGCATGGCATGGTGCACAGCCGTGTCATGAAACTCCACATCAATGGCATTGTCCTGCTCATCATTGTAGCTTCGTACTATTCCCACTGAGTTCCACATCTGAGTCACAATTTGGCCATTATTATAATTATTAGATGTGAGTTAAAGTGGTGGTGTCCTATATCTTTAAAAAAATTTACTTTATTTTTAATCCTAAAGATCTTGCAGCAAAATGTAAGGACCAGTGGATTAAATATAACATTTTATCTCTAGTTTAAACATTTTGCATAGTTATCAGGAGAAACTGTGAGGAGATGTTTTCTGGGTTGTTCAAACAGAAACAGGAGTTAAAAAAATCTGCACTGGATCTTGCCCAAGCATTTGTACTCTACACATACTAGCAGCATCCTCATGCACATCAGTGTGTCCTACCATGAAGCGGTGCATTAGATGTGCAGGGGTGGAGCCTGGCTGAAAAGCCTTCTGGGGAGGAGTTGGCAATGGTCCTTCATAGATGGGGCGAAAGGGTAGTGGGGCAGCAGCAGGCACTACAGCGCTGCCAGCGTCATCATCATCATCCCCAAATTTTTCCTGACCGAGCTTCAGCGATCCAGTGTCTGAACGAAGACGCACATGCAGAGATGGAGTCGTACACAATTTTAGTAGACAGAAAACACAAAAAAGTCTTAAATGCACTTGTTCTCTGTTGAGCCAAATCATCCATTCAGAACATAAGAAACTCAACAAGACCTCAAAAGTTGTACTTTTTGCTGAGCTGCAAAACTCAACTACTGTGGATCATTAATATGCATGTCTACTGAGAAAAGTTGTGCAGACTCCTGACCTTCCTTTAGTTGTACTGGTGAGATAATAATCATCATCATTTCCTGTTTAAAACTAGTACAACTACAGGCTTTCGTGTGCTGCTTACCTTCAGAGCAAAATATCAAAACACAACAACCTAGTTGCTTGCATTAACTTTGAACAGTCTAGAGGACTTCCACTGACTTGGAGAATCTCCCACAAAGTGCGTTAAAGTTTTCCCAGTGGTTAGTGGTGGCCCAACACCATAATAACACACTTCGTGTTGTTTTTATATTGTAAAACTGCCATTTCCCATCCCTCACTTTGAGACTGAACCCTTTCTTCACGCACCTAGTGAGTTCTCATCATCCAGGATGGCCCCTCTGTTCCTCACCCGCCCTGTCACAGGCATGAAGTCATCATCGTCATCGTCCCCAGCGGCAGGTTTTTTAACTGGTGAGTTGGTGTCACTCAGTCCTTCATCCATGAGTCGATCATCATCATCATTATCAAACAGGTCATCATAGTCCTTTGCAGGCTTTGTTGCTGGTGCCTGCTAAAAGAGTTATTTAGCACTGATGTGACAACTTCATAGAAAAAAATAACCTATGACCTAAGGATGTGCAAAAAACTGGCATGAACAGTCACTGGCACTGAAAGACTGAACAGTTTGAACAAATGCAAAACAAACGACGCAGCAGCCAGTAGCAGTCCTTTAAATAAATGCATTTTGTTTTGTTTTGTTATTTTAATGTCCCTTTTCTGGAGGTGTTTTTCAAACACCATAGTCTACCTTTCCAAGAGAAGATTTTAGGGGTGGTTACAAAGTGTGGCCTGTTTGCTCAATTAAAATTAAGCGCATAGTCATGTCTCGACTGTTTCTGTGAGGTGTATCCATGACTGTCTCAGTTCTAAACAGGGCTAAAATTACCGTCATCCAGCAGTATTTGCAAACTGTCAGTTTCAGCCCGTGTCATTTCTCAAAATAGGAAAACTGAAATGTTGCCACACAACAGCTCCAAAAGTCGACAAAGGAGCTTTCACTATGTCAGTTTCAAATTCTGCAACTAGTTATACTAACAAAATACCCATATGTAATATCCTGGTAGATACCGTCCCACAACATTAGAGAAATTTTTCTATCATGATATTGCAAAATTACAAATTGTTACACCCCTAACTATCTGCACAGTTTGATTCAAGAGAGACTGAAAAAAGTCGTCAGCTTTTTGTCACCTTTCAATTTTAATTCTGAGTTAAAAGAACATTTTGAATCCTGTGTTATCTGAGCAGTACCTTGACAGTGTTGGGGACAGATGTGGAGGTGCTGAGTCCGTCCAGCAGGCCCAGGCAGCCCTCAGTGTCTGTGTAGGCGATCTGGCTACCTGAAGGATGCCAGGCCAGACAGCACACGGTGAAGCCTTTCTCATGCTTCTGCCTGCAGCAGAGACAAAACAGTTTAAACTGTAGTGATCCTGGATGTCTGTTCCTAACACATTTATTACACTTTAAGAACAATGTGACAGTTTGGGGACAGGGTTGCTGCACAATTTTCCAGTAGGCGAAAACATGTCTGACACGGACAGTCCAGAGTTCATTTGTGAAAATGGCTTTAAAGAGTTGTATTTTACAAAATAGAATCTATTCTGTAATATACAACTCTCAAAGTTTTCATTTCCTACCTGTGCGGATAGTCCGAGTTCATTCTTATTTCAGCTCTACTTAAAATAACTTTCATAGAACAAACATCTCCTTGTGTGAACATCAAGCATATAATAAGCAAAATAAGCTTCCAAACTGCAAAATGTAATCACTTCTGCAGGCAAGAAACAACCCTGGAAAGATTTTTTCTTAATTCTATGAACTGCAAAAGGTAAATACAGTGCATCCAGAAAGTATTGGCAGCTCTTACCTTTGTCCACATTTTGTTAGGGTACAGCCTTATTCAAAAAAGGATTAAATTCATAGAAAGTATTCATAGTGGAACAATACTCCGTAATGACAATGTGAAAAAAGTTTGTTTGAAATCTTTGCAAGTTTATTAAAAATAAAACATGTAAAACTCACATGTACATAGGTATTCACAGCCTTTGCCATGACACTCAAAGCTTAGCTCTGGTGCTTCCTGTTTCCACTGATCATCCTTTTAGATGTTTCTACAACTTGATTGGAGTCCACCTGTTGGAAATTCAGTTGATTGACCATGATTTGGAAAGGCATACACCTGTCTGTATAAGGTTCCACAGGTAACAGTGCATGTCAGAGCACAAACCAAGTCATGAAGCCCAAGGAATTGTCTGTAGATCCCTGAGACAGGATTGTATCAAGGCACAGATCTGGGGAAGGGTACAGAAAAGTTTCTGCAGCATTGAAGGTCCCAGTGAGCACAGTGGCCTCCATCATCTGTAAATGGAAGACGTTTGGAACCACCAGGACTCTTCCTAGAGCGGGCCACCCGGTCAAACTGAGCGATTGAGAGAGAAGGGCTTGTGCCAAGCTTGTAGCCTCATACTTGAAAAGACTTGAGGCTGTAATTGGTGCTAAAGGTGCTTCAACAAAGTATTGAGCAAAGGCTGTGAATACTTATGTACATGTGATTTTTTTCATTTTTAATAAACTTTTTTCACATTGTCATTATGGAGTATTGTTTGTAGAATTTTGAGGACAATAATGAATTAAATAAATTTTTGAATAAGGCTGTAACCTTGCAAAATGTGGACAAAGGTAAGAGCTGTGAAAACTTTCTGGATGCACTGTAATTTTAAACTACCTTTTATCCTCAGGCAGTGAGAAAAGAGAAAACCTTCTCACCGATCCCCCAAAGCAGGCCAGGAGCCTGATCCGTTTTAACTGAAGGCACTTTTATGCTAATAATATAAGAGGTTGGTTAACTTTTTTCCATTTCACATTGTTTTTGATATTACCCGTGGTGGAGCTGATTGTATGACACTGGTGCCTTTTAATGGGTAAACTGAGCACTGGGCTCCACTTGATATTGAAAATATTGTCATTTTGAAGCTTACACACACACACATACAGACATACACACACACACACACTAACATTAATTAGAAAGCATTTCCTTGGTCAAGAATTGTAACAGAAAGTCATGATTCATATTTTACTCAGAATCATGCAGCCCTAGGAGACAGATGGGCTTATTAACACAGAAGCCTCTAAAACTAGAAAGTGATTAAACAGCTAAATATATATAAACGTTTGAATTTACTTCTGGACATACGCTTGTTACACACCTTTCCACACACAGCTTGCTGTTCACATCCCACATCGTCAGTAAACCCCCCACACTGCCTGCAGCCAGGAACTGCCCACAGGGAGACCAGGCCACCACGTTGATGGGCTACAGAGGAAAGGGGGTGAAGGAGTATGTGTCAAAATCAGACACTTGATCTGAAAATTTCAGCAGGTGAAATCAAAGAGAGATAACACATAGAGAGCAGGAAGAAACAGATAGGGGACTCAGAACAAAACAAAATTAGGAGGGAAAGCTTTATTCCACATACATAGGCATTAACATATAATGAGCTCTGGTAAAAAGAGTAACGCTGTGGTTCAGCGAGTTTATTATGTACCAGCTCAGCACCTCCTCGCTTCCACAAAAACAAGTTAAGAACAGTCCAGGGGGCTGTAAAAATAATTCCGCTTCTATTGAAATAAGCACAATATAATTTATTTTTTTTAGCTCAGAACTACAAGTGCACAGTATACAAATCAGCTTTTCATTATCAAGCTTAAAAATGTCACACTCCCTCCAAACTGGGAATGAGCTGCTGCCCCAAGTGAAGAAGTTTAAGCATCCTGGTGTCTTGTTCAGGAGTGAGGGTAAACTGAAGCGTGAAACTGTCTGGCACGTTAGTGCAACAAAGCTTTGGATTTACCAGTCGAGTGATGGAATTGTGGAATTTTAGTCCTACATTTCAGACGTAGCACGCCTTTGGTCACAGAAACACTAGAATGGCTGTTGGTGGATGTGTCTCACAGTGTGATTTAGGACTACTGAGTTGATCTGACAATGAGGTTTCATCTCCGACAGCCCAGAACACAGTGCAACAGGTTTTATTTACCTAAAATGACTTTACCATGAAGAGAAGTGTATAGCTGACCAGATCATACCTGTGTGAGTAGATCATCAGACAGAGTGCTGACTTGTTCCCAGGACCCCCGCTTGTACAGGTGCACCTTTGTGTCTACAGGAACTGCTAAATACTGAGTGTACACACAGACATTTATTTTTTATTATTTTATGAATACTGTTCTCATTTGTCTCTTAGATTGTAGTCAATGCTGAAGAGATACAGATGTGGTAGACAACAAGCTCTACCAATCAACTGAACACAAAGAATGAGTCACAGAACTGTGACACTGACCTTTGCCAACCCGGGCTGCCAGGACAGCCGACACAGGGATTTAGCATTGCTGACGTCATTGGTCTTCTGCAGCAGAGGCCAGCTGATCACCTGGGTCTGGATAGATGCAAAACAGATAAGCATCTGACAGACTGGCCAGGGTGACTGCACATAAATGTCAAATATTGGGTTTATAAAATCTTAGAGTGCAAGGTGCTGAAACATACCTGTTCTTCAATATTCCACACCACAACAGAGCCATCACAGCTGGCGGACGCCTGACAGAAAAAGCACAGAAAGATTTGTATGTTTTGTATAAATTAAAAGTATTACCTTAAACTGGCTTAGTCTGCTACTATCCATCCAAACATGATGCATTTGCCACTTTACCTTTCAAGCAGGGCAGGGCTAATTCAACATTTACAAATCTATGATTGGACTAAGGCTGTGGTGATTTAATAATGCGACTTTAAGAGTGTTGCTCTTCAGGAGCCTGATAACAGCATGGTTTTGGAAAATGTGCCTCAAGTTTCAACCTGTCAAATTTGTTCTTTACATGTCTCCCAGAATTTTTGGTGGCTTTCTGAAGAGTTGAGACATGATTCTGTGGTTTGCAGCCAATAAATCACTATCTCCAACTGCACTGGATGGAAAAATGAGAACCTCTTGTTATTATGACAAAGACCTTTTTAACAAACATAGAACAACAATCTCCAGCCTCATAGCAGCTCTAGTTATTGAACGCTGTCAAAACTGGAAAGGCAGAGTTTTTATGTATGGTACCTTTCAACAAACAGCTTTACATAAGACGCTGGACGTCTTCAAATGCCCATTTGCATTTGAAGACGTCCAAAACTCCAAAACGTTAAGTTGGCAATTACAGAAAACACAAAATCCTGGCATAAGAGGAGCAGGAACAAACAAATGCTTAGTGTTTGGTTTTTATAAATGACTACAGTCATGAACTGATTCTCTAAATAGTTGCCGATTCATTTTTTGATGATCAACTAGTAAGGTTGGGTATCATTTGAGTTTTTCCTGATACCAGTACTAAAACAATACTTTTAAAATGGCACCAGTGTCTAGGTGGTACCAGAACCAATGCAAAAAACATTAAATGAAGGATGACAATATTAAAAATTTTTTTTAAAGATACATAATAAATAAAACCTAATGCAACTACAATAATTTAACACTAAAAAAACACTAACAGCAAAATTAATCTGGTTCAAATCTTTGTACTGTTTCATGGAAGTAATCAGATACTGTGTGTCAACTGTTCATTCATAAAAAGTTTGCAGGGTTTAAATTCATCACAATGTGCAACTGAACTCAACGTATCCTCATCTATTGGACAGTGTTAATGTAGCATTTGACCTTTATTGATTAGTTGAGAACTCTACCTGCATTTGGGGTTTATATTGCTTCTATTTCAATGCCTTCAACACACAAACAGAAAACAACTTCAGTGTTGCATTTCTGAAATCAGAAAGTAGGTTCTCCTACCAGGAAGTCATCTTTGGGGTCAAAGGTGACGCTGAGGACAGGTGCTTCATGACCCCGGAGTGTTTTCTGTTGGCTGCTGTCAGACACCTCCACCACCTTAACCATAAAGTCACTGAAGAAAGCAGACAAATTGAGAATAATGTGTGAACCGGCAAGTGCAGGCAATCTCTGTTCACATGTGACTGACTGCCAACGAACAGCGACGCAATCAAGGGAAAGGGCACATCAGCTGTGAACCAATACCAGAGTAAATTGTCAAATCAATGAACAAGAGAAGCAAAATAATCCTGAATGTCCAACAGAATGCAGATTCCAAATTCACCCTAACAGCCTCAGATATTGAATTTTTACAATCAATATCACAATAGAAATTACCAGTGTGAAAACAGCAGCATCAATAAGGCACCATGCTCTGTGCTTTTATTGTTGTGATAAACCTGCTTAGGGCAGATTGATTCTTGCAGCAAATTCACATTTATGTCCAATCAGGGCTAATCATAAAGCAAATAAAAGTGCTGCTCTGTCTGTGAGCTGGAAATCTCATTCAGGCGCAGGCTGTGAGCAGCTCATTCTGTACTGGAACAACAATACTGAACCTAATAAGATCAGTCTAATTTTGTCATAGCATGCATACAACTGAACACAACACATACAAGTGAAAGCTTCACCAGTGGCCAAAGGAGCAGCAGGAGTGCACTGAATGTGCGTTGTTTGGCAAAGTAAAAATGACATTCGCCTGTCATTTAGCTATGACATCACACCACTGGGGGAAAATATCTCATAAAAAATGTTTCTACCCAGTGAGCTGGTTATCTTTTCTTAGCTTATAGACTAGAAAATGGTGGAATCAGCCTGCCTGTGTCCTCAGGTACTTACAAAAAGGAGCCTACCAGCACATTGCACACTGCTGAGTCATGTTCTGTGCCTGTTTTCGTAGTGTCAGGCAACCAGAGAAGACTCAAACTGTTAAACCAAACCACTAGGTTAAACTAGCTAGTCATGGCATGTTAATTTGTGAACTTTAGAAGTGGTGAGGGGCAGAATTCCACAAATTTAGGCAGAGCAAGGCCAGCACCTTTCCCCTGCTTTCACTTAGGTTGTTACACTTTAATTTGAAACTCTTCTAGTGTTTTTCAGGTCAGTCTACTATCTTGAGTACCTGGATCCAGCTGCGACTCTTGAGCTGCTGCTGTTGAAGGTGACGTGTGTGGCACTGGCGGTGAACCTGGTTAGGATACCATCTGGATCACCATCAGGAAATGTGTGGATCTGCACTGTGTTGTTGGAGCTTGCTGTCACTAGCTTGCCGTTCTGCCGAAGAAGGCACATGTCAATCCACCATTAAGTTAATGGTTGCCATTTTTACCAAATGTACAAATTTATTACATATCTCAGTAGAAACCAATCATATAAGGTGAAACCGTGTATCACAGATCTAAACCTAAATGTGCCAGAAGGCATGAGACAACAAACCTTGAGCGCCAGAGAGTAAGCCTTTTCCCCAACAGTGATGAACTTTGGATCATCATCATCCAGACCTTTCCATATCCGAACATCACCATCACTTCCACAGGTTACAATGAATCTGAGGAAAATTTGGTTCCAGTTTAGGTTTAGATTTGAACAATACTGTGTAACAAAAGAAAAAAAGGAAACTGCTGGAACAAATCTTGAGATTATTCTGTATCCTTAAAAAGTCTGCTTAAATCAACATAAAACTGTGCAACAGGAATGACTTTCTCCTAAAGCTTACACCAATTTCTCTAGCAGCTATATTCCTAGACATACAAAGTTAAGGTCCGTATATTCCTTAAATCACTTTGCATAGTTAGAGTTGGGAAAAATGACAACCTACACCCTGAGATCACATCAATTTGTAAACAGCTAAGCCATTTAAACTGTGGCAGAGTTCCCTTATTAGTTATTTCTGAGGGCAGGGCATTTCTTGTTTTCTGTTTGCAACATTTCTTGCAGTTCCTTGCAGGAAATGTTGCACATTGGAACTGTTTTATGGCAATATAGAGTTTGATTTGTTGTTGTTGTTGGAGTCACAAGGTGGCCGGAGGCAATTCCATCGTACACTGGGCATAGAGTAGGTAGACACATTTACAGCCTTCAAAAATGTATACAACTTCAGCACAACCTTATGTATTAATTGTGGTAAAAGTATTTATATTTTATTTCAAACTTTTAGTACACATTTGTACAAAAACACAAGCGGCATCTACACACAATAAAAACAAAAAATGTTGCCAGATAATTATTAACTGTGAGCCCAAACAATTGTCCACCCATGCCGTTATGCTGCATCTCCAATGTTCCTATAAGGTGACAGGCTTGTAACACTCTGATGTACTCTGAGTAATTAAGAGGCAGTTAAATAAATTAGACAACTGATGAATGTTTAACAAAGTCAGTCAGCGCCCATCCATTTTTTCTTATGATACTCATACATTTTGTTTATACTTATGTATTTTTTTTCTTAAGTAACTACGGGAGTTTTGCTTGTGATACAGTACTTTTATTAAGGTATAGGATCTGAGACAGAGTGCTTCTTCTACCACTGCTTCATCCTATCTGACTTATCTGACTTACTCCCCCGTGTCATCAAAGCAGACCTCGGTGTGCCCTTCAGAGTGACCGTAGCGCATCGGCTTCCTCTCGCAAGGCATTTTCACACACCACCAGACTGATGAACAGAACACAAACAGTGATCAATATGTGAAACCAGTCCGTACACGTGAACATTAAGGTACATCTTTGCAGCACAGTTATCTTCTGCCCTTTCATCATTACTATTTCAGACAACTAGTTAGCTAGCTTTAGAGCTGAGCTAACGCTAACCATACATCTGGCTACGTTATTCCAAACTTGGTGGTCGGACTGATACACAACATCTACGGCATGACATATTTGACTCCGACTAAATGCATAGGCTATCTAAATAATTACAAAAGCTGGAGATATGACAGCTTACAACTTCTCCGGGTGATTCCACACAATTGATGAAACTCCCGCGCTATGTTGAAAACAAGGAACTGTGCGTCACGACTCCCGCCGGCTACGTCATGACGCAGCGGGCCCCTCCTATATTGTATGCCATACTCCTACGCATGGTTGTAAGAGAGAAATGGCACAGAGGCCGGCACGTGAAACGCCACACAAAACGTGAAGAAATAGTGGAGACCTGATAAACACTGTATGTATGTTGTACAAAGTTTGGCTACAGTGAATAGTTTATATTGAGCTCATTTGTTGTAAACTTGTGTTTTATTCAATTGCTTTGATTTTTTTCTGACAAATAACAAGCGCAAAAAACATCAGGCAAATTCCATCATAAAGGTAGGCTTACTGTAAGTATGCGACCAACAGTTATTTTCATTATCAATTAGTCTGAATTAGAATTCAGTAGAGATTAAGGACATTTTACTGTTAGTTTACTGCACCTGTATTGTACCTCTTAAATCAAATTAAATAGTGAGCAGTACACATAAAATCACCAGTCTCACCTAGTTCACATAATAACAAAGCTTTTCTTTTCCGGATGGATCACTGAAAATATGTATTTCTTTAGATAATGACTGTATCTGGGTCCAACTGTACACATGGTAAAATCTGCCTCACAAAATGTCATGATAAAAGTGCAAGTAATTTAGATTATACATCTTTCCATATAGATAAGGAACAATTTTCAGAGTATGAATATCACTCTCTAACATATTTTGAAAAACGACAAATAAACTAGGATAATCCATCCATCCATGTATTATCTATACTGCTTATCCTAACGAGGGTCATGGGGGGGCTGGAGCCAATCCCAGCTAACACTGGGAAGGAGGCGGGGTCCACTCCGGACAGGTCGCCAGTCTATCACAGGGATGACACTTAGAGACAGACACACACACTCACTCCTAGGGGCAATGTAAAGCCACTAGTCAACCTAAGAGCATGTCCTTCAACTGTAGGAGAAAGCCGGAGTACCCAGAGAGAACCCATGCAGGCAACAGCTTAACCCAGAGAGAACCCATGCAGGCAACAGGTTAGCCTGGGGCTCGAACCTAGAACCTTCTTGTTGTGAGGTAACAGAGATAACTAGGATAATCATACTAATGAAACATTTCACTTCAGCCTGTATAAAATGTCACAGGTCAATTCCAAAGCCAGTCATCTCCACACTTGCAATAAGTCTGAGGCAGAAATAGACATTGTGATTGAACTTTGTTTTGAATATTTCTTAATTGGTCATTTTGAAATAGCTAGCGTATTAGAGTTATTCAGTCTTTATGTAGCATACCAATATTTATTTTTATTTTACTTACATAGCTGGTTCATGTTGTAGTGTTTTATTTATTATCACTTACATAAAAAAGACAAGCACCTCTGTCTCAGGTTAACATGTTGTATTTCAGGACACTTTTTCACACTGCAGTAGCACCTAAAGGAAGACTAGATGAAGATGAGACATCAAACCCAGGTCCACAATCAAATGTCTACTAATTTAAGCAGATGTTAATATACAGTATACATACATCTTTGTGCTTGCAAAGGCAACCTGCTACTGGCTGACTTTCCACTTGACTGTTTGAGTGGCATCTCAATTTGATCAGTGAAACAGGACGTACACACTCAGCAGGCAGCTGGGTGTGTAAATGTCAAATCACTGAACTCTGAACATGTACAACTGCCCTGACATCTCATATACATCATGTGAGTTTTAGGCCACACATGAATATTTGAAATGATGATGAATTAAAAACAAAAAGACCCATGTTTCATTTCTTAAATCTGGATATCATGAGTCTACTCTAACACTAGATATTGGCTTTAGGCAGCTGAAATATGAGGCTTCCTAACCATATCATACAAAACAACATTAATATTTCATTTGGAAAATCAATAGATGTGTCTCCTGACTTTGTCCACTGACTAAGTGTTAACATGTAGATAGACAGAGGGCTCAAACACAAATATTTTGTGGTTTAAATCTAACAAATAGGTGTGAGATAGCCCTTTGGTTGCACTAATAACCTCCAGCAATGTTTGCACTTCCATAAAGTTTGGGACAAAAGACTGAAATAGTCCCTGAATCTAAAAAAAAAAAAAGCTGGATCCCACACTACTACTAGCTGCTCCTGTTTCACAAAATGAGAGGTACTAAATAGGTAAAATTGCATCTATGTCTCAAAAAAGTACTGTAAAGTAAAAGTTTTTTCTTTAATGAATGAACAAATGTGCTTATTGGATTCAAAAGACCATGTCAACTGCAAATCCAAAACACTTATGAATATACTGAATGGCAGAGGTGACAAAGGCTTTCAGCTCCTGCAATAAAAGTTTTGTTTGCCTTAGCTTTTATTACAACAGACTTCCCATTTATCGATGATAAATCGCTGTTAAGTTTAAAAACCCAACTGTTTGAGCTGCACTCTTCTAACCACTCCTGCAGAACTGAACATTTAAAGGGATGATTAGTGGAAGAAACGTTGATGGCTGGAAAAAAAGCAGATTAGAACATCATTTCCCAAGTGTTTTTTTTCTCAAGTTGTGTCCCAGTAAATCATGGCAGCGTATCAGTGAACCAGCATGCACAACACCAGAACCCTGAAAGTGAAGCAGCTAAAGCCATTATTATTATTTGCACTGTTTACACCTGTCCTACTATAACGTGACAATGTCTGCTGTGAAAAGTACTCGTTGAACCTGTTGTCAGCAGAGGTCACTGATGGCTTCCATAAAAACAATGCTTCTAGCTGTGAGACAGTCTGAATGTATGTAAGATATAATTAATTTATTTAAGGTTAAAATTATTCTCACTTTAGTACAAATAACGTTTAAGAGTAGGGTGCTACAGTCACATCTGAACTTGAGATCAAACCAGCTCCAATCTAAAGCTCTGTATAAAAGGAAACTGTAATAATGAAGCACAGAATTTAGATGATTGGGGAAGCATAAAATGGAGAAAAGACACACGCTAGCCAATTTACATATTTAAGTATGCTGGAGTAAAATGCTGATATCTGTCTGAAAAGCACTGAATTTATTCATTTATTTATTTGTGGTACCTGAAAGCCTAAATGCCATAGGATGAAATTTTCAAGCACTGTTTTGAACTCATACCAGTCATTTCAGGGCAGATGTTTTTCAGCGCTGGTCGGAGAGAGAGAGAAAGAGGCGGAATGACGTCAATCAATTGAAAAATCTGAATTCCACCCCTGTTAATGGGGGGAAATAGTCTCTTTCATGTCCTTATCTCTCCACTTGTTAAAGTGAAGCATTGGCATTTAAAGATGTCCTTTGCAGAGAGAGGGATGAATTGTTTTCAAAGTGATACTCTTCAAAAACAGCATTTTCTGTGCCATTAGCCTGTCTAACTATGACACAGTCCTCAACTGCAGCATGAACAGGGATAGACAAGCATGACCTTTAAATCGGTCCAGAGAGGACAAAAACCTGAGAAACATTCATGCGACAAATGCAGTGTAAATGGGATTTATTGGTTTGAGTTACAGTGTGGTGAATACAGTATACACCTTGAGGGGGCATCACACTGATTCAGATTCTTTGAAGATAGTCCTATAGTATGGCAGATTGCAGTGCACATACACTAAGAATGAACGTTTCGGTGAAGACAGGGAGATCTTGTGCACCACACACTTGCATATCCATAGATTCAGAATTTTTGAATTAAGGACAACAATGCAGAAAACCATATTGCACAGAAAATGAAACTGAAAGCAAATTATTTTTCTATTTTTTAAATCATATATGGACCCAACATCTCAGCCCCCTTCCACACACATACTGTACACACACTGGTCCATAAGACCATGCTACCAGCTCGACAGTCCACACATCCAAAACCAAAGGTCGAGGACCCCAAACTTATTGTATTGTACTCCACGACCACCATGTAAACAATAACAAAACTTGTAAAAGCAGTTGAGGCTTTAAAGCTTTCGAGATTTAACTGTAAACAAGCAGCTGAGCAGTGTAAAGATGGAGTGTCCTCCCAAACATTGAATTAATGCAGTTGTGTCACCATCTTGTGGCCACGCAGTAGAAGAGTTCTTCCAATACTAACAGGTAACATTTGTCATCTATGTCTATTTCGCCTTTATCTATCTCCTTTTCTCTCCCAAATTCATCCATATGGATTGCCAGCAGAGTGTTTGAACGCATTTTGTATTCCAGTGTCAAATTCAAGCTCTTGTATTAGTCACAGTTCAAAACCTCAATCTTCATACATGTAGGCCTATATCTCTTTCTCATCAGAGAGACACGAAGTTTGAATGTTGTGACTATTTAGACTACAACAGATTATCTGTTATATGATAATGTTGAAAAGGATCCCACTGTACCACTTCTAACAAGTGAAGAGGTCTACAGAGGTCCAAAAAGTTTGCTATGTTGGAGGGTTAATTTAGACTTCTGTGCTGGACAAAGCCATACAAAAGCATCACACTTTTATGACATGAAGACATAAAAGAGGTTTGGTCAGAGTCATGAACCATGTACCATGAAAGATGCAGTTCCTCTAGTGGCCACTAGATGTTTACACAAGACAATTTGGACTGGGGTTAAAGGGTTAATGTTTAAGGTCTTGGACATTTTTTGGATTTCCTGTGTCCTACTCCAATAATTAAGGACAATGTTCTGGTGTGTGTTTGCTTAATTACAGGTGTCCCAGTGTATTACAGTCAGTTGCTTTGTTATCCCATGAGCTGACCCTGACCCCAGTAACTGTCAAGATGGCTGGAAACAGAAAGCCTAAATCCAGAGTCCATAAAACCATCCCTTAGTACTGAAGGATGACATGGAGAGATTATGCCCATGTACGGACATACACAGATCCAGACCTGCAGAAAAGACTGATGATCCTTTGTAGATTTCGTTGCTCTATTTCTTGGTGCAATAAGATCAACAAACATTTTTAAAAACTGTGGAGCTCTGCACATTTTAGACCTCAGAGATTTTCAACATCATAGCTTCTTGGAATTCAATTGTGTCTCTTCCAAGAGAACCTACCTTTTCCTGTTCTATCTTTGCCTTCCTTGGTATGAGGCCTGCTTTGGACTGTCACACAGCACAGGCTGTATCACACTTAATGTGGTATTGTCGGAGATAGTCCCTGAGCTGAGGTGGCAGTGGCAGATTGTTTATGCCCTGGTAGGTGGTGCAGCTACAGATCACAGCCCTACAGAGGTGCTGGAGGGAGAAAGGGAAGTTCCTTGGTAGTGGGCGGGAAAGAAGAGGCTCAAAGAAGAGGCAGGTGGCTGGGTCACTGTAGTGTCTCAGTAGTCCTGTCACACTGGAATCCCTGTACATACACGGGTCACGCACATCAAAACTGAAGCGCTTGCCATTCTGCTCAATGCGCGCATGCAGGGAGCGGCTGTAGCGGCGAAAGCTGACTGAAAAAAGGAACTCATCCTGGGCTGAGTCTCGAAGCAGAAACGTGCCCTCTGGTTGGCCCTCCAGTAGCTCCTCTGCCTCAAAGCGATTCAGTACACCCCAGTAACAAGGGTTGTTGTTGATCTGGAGGAGATCTGGGACCAGGATGTAGTCAGTGTTACTGCAGCTGCCCTCTGCTCCCCCATGAGGACAAGATGGGTCCCAGTCCTCCAGACTGGTGCTTCCAGGCCCAGGGGAACAGCAAATGTCCTCCCAGGAGAGCGGGGTGTGTGGAGGGGAGGTAGAGGAAGAGAGGACATTGGGTTTGAGGGGGGCCTCCAGGTCCTTGAGGGCACTTGGGTGGGTGGTGTGATTTTTTATAAGATGCCAACATCTGGCAAGTTCAGATTTGGGTGAGAAGGGACACTTGTCCTGCATGAGCTCTGAGACATGGATCTTGCGCTTGGACCAGAAGAGCACCGAGAACGGTCGTGAAGAGCCCGGTGCATGGTGGAGATGATGATGGTGGTGATGGTGGGAGCGCAGAGGGAAACACTGACCCACAGCATCCTGAAATTTCTGCCTTAGAGAGCGCCTGGAAAAGGCCTTTCGACACACAACATCCATGTCTGCAGATGTCAATGTATCCCCAAGAGCACTGCAGCTACATTTTCTGTCTCTGCGCCACCTCGGACAGGATGTCGACCGTACACCTAGGTCCTCTGCCCCCTCCGCTTCCAGCCCTGCAGAACCCGGCCCATTGTGAGAGCTCCGGGAGCGTTTCTTCCCCCGCCAAACATAACTGTCCGCACTCCAGCTGCGTAGGCCGGATTTGGGACGTGTGTCTGAGCCTCGTGGCTTCTTCTCTGACATGGCTGCTTCCTCTTCTTACTCTGAAAATAGAAGTCAGAGTTGTAACAGGACTACAGGTACACTAATGTTAATGCAAGAAATTTCAAATGTAGTCTGTATCAACAAGTTGCTTGTGATAGGGTTGGGCATAAGGAAAAAAAAGGTAAAAGAAACAGATGCAACATCGTCCAAAGGTCTCACAAATTCTAAGTCCCACTGATAACAGGAACATTTTTTTTAACCTCTATTCCAAGCCCAGAAACCTCTGTAATAAATATCACTTAAAAATATATATAATTTAAGGCTTGCATCATTGCAAAGCCATTTGTATTCTACAAGGTTCAACTTAGAAAAAGTTGTAGGTAAAGACATTTTAGTTGGGACCTTGCGAGGAATAATGCTTAGATAGTGCTACAGTTCATCATATCAAATGATATTTAGAATATTAAATTATATACAGTAAATTATAAAATATTTTAGGAGGCACACTGGAGTTGTTACTCAGATTTTTCAGTACTTTTAAAAATAAATTTTTGAATTCACATTGGCTCCTACTTTGACCAAAATGAACCCTTTACGAGCTTTCTTAAAGGGTTAGAAAGGACTGCTTTCTAATCAATTCTGTAAAAGATCTGTGGAGTCCTGCTGATTTTTCCATCCCCAGTATAAAAAAAATTAAGACAGCAGAGTTCAGTTACAAGCTGCAGACAAAAATGGATCAGTTTCCTGAAAACCACCATTTTAACATTAACCTAGGCAACAGACTTGTTGGGCTTCATTCAGAAGTGGTTCAAGGGGAACATTTTGTTAAACTGTGTCAAAAACTCTTGTTTTAACTCTTTAGTTGTAGTTTGTTTTATTGATATTTGTATTTAGCAGGAGTTTGCAAAGATGGTCAAAAACAATACAAAATGAAAATCTAATTTAACTGAGCAGATTGTGAGCAGCAGGTTTCATATCACAGACTGGTAATCATTCAGTTTTGTTATTATCGCTATCAGATTAGTGCAAGAGATAATCTTACCTTCCAAACAGTGTCAGAAAGACAGGTCCACATCCATGTTATGGCCAGTTGTTCACTACACATTAGTGGGCATGTATGACCAGCCTGCAGCCCTCCAGCTCTAACTGAAGGCAGACGGTTCTGCTTCCTATATAATTATGATGCCAAGTCCCCAAGGGGGCCGTAGTTTCCTCTCTCCCAGAGTAAGGTTTGAATGAGTATTGGAAACTGGAGTGGGGTCAAGCTGAGGATGGGGCGAGTGGGATGTAAGGGGAGGGTAGTTAATGGCAGGGAGGCATTTCCTTTACACATTCATTGACAAATTCCATGTCCTAACAAGAAGAAACAGATCAAAGATAACCAGAGCAGCTGGAGAGTGCTTTTTCATTCACAAAGTGGATTATTTCTGCTTGTAATTACATTTCTGTATGCTGATTTGAGTCTTTTTAAATTCATCAGAGGCTCAGTCCTCAGGTTTAAAAGCAGCCTGTGTGGACTTATACATTACCCGCTTTAGCATAGCAGACACTGTCTAATTAGCAATTCTGCACAGTGGAGGAAACAACCAAGCATTTTAAAAAGCTTAATTTATTGATTGAATAACCTTTGAGTTTCCCAGTTAAAACTTCCAGCAAGTGCTGCTGAAAGGACTCATCTGTCAAGGTGACATCATACACACAGCGTGCGAGTTGGAGCAGGCTACTCACACTGGATGGCATTTTGGAAGATCTATAATTCATGAAACAAACATACTACATCTATCAGACAAATAATATTATTCCCAGTGGTTTAGTGAGTGTATGTGTGTGTGTGTGTGTGTGTGTGTGTGTGTGTGTGTGTGTGTGTGCCCCTTCCACTCTAACAGATAAAGGATAGTCATCAATAAATGCCTGACATCTCAAATAATGTAGCAACACTCAATTTCCTCTTAACTGAATATTTAATGCTTTTACATTATCACCGGGATGATAATGCCACATGTTCTGGCTAACAACTGGATTTTTCAACCGAAAACTCAGAAACAATGTATCAGAGAAACTGCCTGACTAAGAGGCTGGACTTGCTGCTGTGGTTCATGCCAAATGCTAACATGCTCACAGTGACAGTGCTAACATGTGGATGTTTAGTGGGTACAGCGTATCTTGACATGCTAACCACAAACTTCAACCTCATGGTGGCACTAGATGAAGGTTAGGAGTCTGTAAACATGAATGTCTCTAGTGGCTTAGCAGTGAGGGAAAAGTGCAACCTTCCCTATGGAATTAAATGTTTGATTTTATGTGCAATATTTATGTTATGTAATTATATTTGGTGGCTGAATAAAATGATTGACATATAATTAGCCAGTTTTTAATAATAGTTTAATACTGATAAATAGGACATTGTTTTTGGTATATAAATTAATATAAAAATACTGTTTCAGTGTACCATTTAAAATTGTATTCTATATTTTGGGATCTGCTTCCTACAGCACTTCACATTTAGTCATGATAGTTGTCCCACCTCAGCCCCATAGCCTCTTCCCAGACAAACATTCCATGGAAATCCTGTAGGTGGACCTTTAAGATATTATGTCCATATTATCTAAACATGTTTAAGTCCTGCTTGTATCTCTAGTGCCTACAGTACATGCACACAACCTACTCTAGACTTGGTGTGTCAGTGGGGTGTGTACAGTTTTGTCCAGGAATTGCCTCAAGCAGTGGATGAAATCCAGTCAGCCCATTAACCTGGTGCAGGACTCAACCAGAGGCTCATATCAGTCCACATTACAGAGGCATCGATCCCAGGACAGGAGCTTTTATGAATAATTGATGCTCTCCTGAATGAATGGAGACTTTATACTCTGCTTGTATTTTATTTGAACATTATTACACTTTCCATTGACATTTATGCAGTCAGGAGAGGTAAAAGTAATGCATGTGTTACAGCCTTCGAGGCAGTGTGTTGCACTTATCATTGGATGCACATGCACACTTACATCTTTTATGAAATCTTTTTTTTTCTTGTACTTGCTCACTTTGGGTCTGTCTGGTTTAGCCACACCAGCAGCAGCCTCACAGTCACCCTACAGCCCTGGACTGTCCCAAGTGCAATGGGAAATGCATTGCAGTCTCCCCTTGTAAAAGTCCAGTGTTTTGTCACACCAACTATCCACCCCATCTTCCCACCAACAAGTGTTTTTAGTCCTCTTTTGCTTTTTAGGGGCCCCTTTTAAGGGCCCAGTCTAGTTGATAATAATCTCTGATTTGTATTTTGTCATCTTATCGTGTTATTCTATGCACAAGTATTACAGCTCTCCTCAGCTATACAAAATATTGTAGCATTTTAGTACTATGCAGCTCATTGTTTTTATTTTCTAACACAAAACTTCATTGTTTTGGCCCACTGTCACTGTTCACATATATGCTGGTTTTGGCCATAGCAGGCTGCTGTTGTCAGTGAAAAAAGTTCTAACATAAATTCTTATAGTTTCACCTACCTGCCCATCACCAAATGGCAGACACAGGTGGGAACCAGCTGGTGGATTTAGTGGAGCATTTCTGTCAGGGGGTGATGGAGAGCCAGAGATAAAAGGACTCATTAAGTGGACAGAAAAATAATCCCAAATGAACGCTAATGTTGCTCCATGCTTGCTTCAGCCTTAGTTACAAAACTGTTTGCTAAAACATGTCAGGTTTACAAGGTGATAGCATGTCAGTGTTGTGTTTACAGCTTATGGCACTGGGCTCAAGTAGCCAATGCAGGTTTAGGTCCGACAGCCAGTCACATGCCCTCCATGGAGGAACTGTACACCTCAAAAGTCAAGAGGAGGGCAGAGAAGATTTCTGCAGACCCCTCACATCCCGGACACAAACCCGCCAGTGAAATAAACTGTCAATATTACTGTTGAACTGTACAGAACAATCACGTTCTTCTGCCACAACATGTATATAAGTATATATATTTATAAATAGATTTTCTCTTTTTCCTCGATTTCTATCTTTTTTAGTTGCACATATTTTCCTATGTTGAACGCACATTGTTTTCTTGTTGCCTTACAGCAGCACATTAACAGCCTCTGTATCAGTGAAAATCCTTGTGTGTTTAAGCATAGTTGTCCAGTAAAAATTATTCTGATTCTGATTATCATAAAAAATGCAATAATGCTGTAGTCACAGCAAATGTATGTTGTTCTGCAAGATAGAATATGACTGCTAAAAATGAACTGCCAATAGCAGGACCATACTGCATTCTAAGTAGTTGGGCTATGAATTAATCTGATATACTGTATATGGCAGTGTATTGGTGCCATCTTGACAAAAATATCCTTCGTTTCTTGTGTTTATGTGATTCTTTTTCACATTATAAAGAGTTTTTTTTCTCATTTTCCTCATTATTATTATGATTATCAGATGAATTTGTTTTTACACGAAACCTTTCTTGCTCTAACAACAGGTCACTTTATCTTGCTAGTGTAACATATAACTGAGCAGACACATTAGTCTACAGCAGATTGATGAACATACAACATGAAGTGGGTAGATGTCTGGTCACCAGCACTGCACAGACCAGCACTGAGTCTGGGCTCATTTGTAATGTGGTAATGCTGAGCAAATATATATATTTTTAAATACATTGCCTTAAACACATGTATTTAAATCTTTTATATTTACTTATTTGTATTTATTTATATTTGTATGGTCACATTTGGGAAGATATGCTGTTGTATACTTTTGTTATCTGCCAAGACATAAATGTGTAGATTTACTCTCATATTAGTTAAATAATTACATTCAGCAGCAGGTTACCTTAGCTTAGCATAAAGAATAGAAAGAGGGCAAAACAGCAAGCCTGATTCTGTTCATGGGGAGGCCACAGTGGTGCAGTGGTAGAGCAGTTGCTTCCCACCCAGAAGGTTTAAGGTTCAAATCTCAGTACCGACAGTTCACGTGTCCTTGGGCAAGACACTGAACCCCCCTGTTCAGTTAGGTTAGAGCCATCGGTTAAGGTGACGCCGCAGATGGCTGCCTCGGTTCTGTACTAGAAACAAATTCCTTGTGTGTAACATACTTGGCCAATAAAGGTGATTGTCCTTACAGTTCACCTCTCTATAGCTCACTTATTAACATCTCATTCATTTAATCATCTTCTTCTCTTTCTCTTATTTTACCCCTTTTCTTTTCTTCCTTCTTTCTGCCCTTTCTTTGATTCATTAATTTCCAGCTAATCTGAGAGACAAACATCATTCTTCTCCACAATGAGATCA